GTCGCTTTTAGTGCTCAAGCTCTTTAAAGCAGGATGAATTCTGATTGGCTGTCAATGTTTTTATCGTCCATCAGATGGAAATAATTAATTCTTATAGTGATTCCAACGATATTGTTCCTCTGTGTCGTTATCATTAAAGTTGTGATGTGAACTTCCATTACCATTACCATTATAGTCATCCTTGGAGTGAACTGTGTTTGGTCATGTTATCTGACCTCCATGATTCTTTTCTCTGCATCAGGCACATTGAGAAAGCCATTAAGAAACTGAGCAAGCGCCATGCAGAGCATATTCGTGTCTACGACCCACATGATGGAGAAGATAACAAACGTCGCCTCACGGGTCGCCACGAGACCTCCAGCATCCATGACTTCTCATCAGGTGTTGCTAACCGCGGGGCCAGCATCCGTATCCCTCGTCAGGTGGGTCAGGAAAAATGCGGTTACTTTGAGGACCGTCGTCCTTCTGCCAACTGTGACCCATATGCTGTGACCTGCGCAATGGCCCGCACCTGCATGCTGGAAGGGGAGGAAGATGTCCATGAACTTGAATAACACACTTTTAGAAAAGAATAATTGTATAGAATATTCGATAGAGTGCACCTTAACCTGTTTTAATTGTTATTTTTTTCTGTAAATTATACTCTGTACATATTAAGCTCTTCTTCTTAAAAGAATGTTTTATGACACATGATTTGCAGGCAAGCTTGATATGTTGTATTGAATGATCGTACACCTACCTGTTTCTCTGCACAGTAGATCAGATTAGAACCTGACTGGGGTTAACAGCAGATTCTCTCCCTGCCCTTCTACCGTCACACAAACAAAATTCAAAAGGCTGCATTCCAAGTTACCTGCCACAGCAATGCAGATGGTTTAGGTGAACAGGTTTTTATAATTGCCAAATTTTCAAGGGTGTAAATACCAATTCACATTTTACTCAAATTAAGCCACATAAAGCACATAATACATCACAGAAACAGGTTTGAGCATTCATATGGTGTGAAGCACCAAACACTTATCAGTGTGTTCATCATCTTTGAAATATGTATGAAATGTATCAAATCGTTGGGGTTGATGATGTTTCTTATCCTCACAAAGGCTGCATTCATTTAATTCATTTATTTGTAAAATAAAAAAAGCTATTTGAAAAATAAAATGCATTTATTTGAAAATACAGTAAAAGCGGCAAAATTTTGGAAATATTATTACAATGAAAAAACAAATCTATTTTAACATATTTTTAATCATTTAATTTAATCTTGTGATGGCAAAGCTGAATTTCCATCAGCCATTATTCCAGTATGTAGTGTCACATGATCCTTCAGAAATAATTGTAATATGCTGATTTGGTGAAATTCTTTGAGGAATAAAAACAGATCTTTTGTAACATTATAAAAAAATGAAATAAAATCTTAATGACCCCAAACTTTTGAACGGTAGTGTAAAAAAATGCTTTCACTTTATTTTTAAGCATGGATAACCATAGTACACCCATCATTCAAACTGAGGATACCTGCACCTACAGTATTTACAGATAAACTGCATATGTGTGTGTGTGTGTGTACACACATATATGATGAGCCAAAACATTATGACCAGTCAGAGGTGAAGTGAATGTCTTTGATCATCTCCTAAAAAGGCCACATATTAAAGTCTGGGTAGATTAGATCATAAGCAAACAGTCAGTTCTCATAATCAATGTGTTGGATGCAGGAGAAATGGGTAGGAATAAAGATCTAAGCAACTTTGACAAGGGCCAAATTGTTATGGCAAGGTGACTGCGTCAGAGTATCTCTGAAACAGCTAGGCTTGTGGGTTGGCAACAGGGTGATGGTTGCCCAAGGATCATCGATGCATGAGGGCAACAAAGGCTATCCTGTCTGGTCCAAGCCAACAGAAGGTCTACTGTGGCACAATCACACAAAATTTGAATGATGGTTAAGGGAGAAATGTGTCACAACACCCACTGCAACACACTCTGCTGTGTATGGGGCTGCGTAGCCACAGGCCAATCAGAATCCCTGATGACCCCTGTCCACTGTCAAATGCTCCAACAATGGGCACGCAAGCATTGGAACTGGATCTTGGGGCAGTGGAAGAAAGTCACCTGGTCCAATGAGTTCTGTTTTCTTTTACATCACGTGGATGTAACCTGGGGAAATGATGGCACCAGGATGCACTGTGTCCCCCCAGACATGTTTGAGAACTTGCAAATGTCTCAGTGAAAGAGTGGCAAAACATCTCACAGCAACTGGCAAATCTGGTGTAGTCCATGAGAATGAGAAGCACTGTAATACTTAAAGCATTGTCCTAAGATCAGATTTACAGAGATGATTCACACCAAAACAGGTCATTCACTCTTTCTTCTTTGGAACAGTGTAATTTCAAATGTAGTTTGAACATTTGAAAGAGTTTTATTGGCAGTTGCAACCCAGAGGACCTCCTTCAGGTGACAGTAGATATGATTGATGTGGATCTGTTCAGCTGTTACTCCAGTTTCAGTGTAGCCTGGGAAAATCAGAGAGGGAAAAAGCATCCACAGACGTAATACCATTGATATTTTTGTTTGGTTTTGTTGCATTATATCTGCTCCAGTATGTCTTGCGTATCTGACAGCTCACGTCTTAACAAGTTCTTGCGGGAGAGATACCTCAATCTTCCCCAGGGAGAGTTCTGTCAAGTCACTTACGTCTGGATCGCTTATTGTGGAATGGACTTGTGCTACAAGACCTGAACCATGGACTTTACACCAAAAACCATAGCTGGTACTACAGAAATTTCTTCATAATATATGTTTTGGGTTTTCTTGTGTTTATCATGCTTTATACTTACTTTTTTATTTTTGGTAGATATACCAGAATGGGATATCATTGGGCAAACTGAAGGATTCAGCCCTGAGATGCTACTGGCTCCTGTCTGCATGTTCAGGGACCCCTTTATTTTGGACCCTAACAAACTGGCCCTTTGCGAGGTGCTTAAGAACACCCGGGAGCCTGCAGGTATGATAGGCTGAAATGATGGTAAATTGTATAAAACTCACGTTGGGTTCTTTATGTTCTGCACCATTGTTAATGTTGCTCAGCTGGTAGAGCATGATGTATGTATGCATAAATGTAAATATACAGTGGGTACGGAAAGTATTCAGACCCCCTTAAATTTTTCACTCTTTGTTATATTGCAGCCATTTGC